CACATACTACAATCTGTGGATTACTCTCTCTAATTAACTTCTATTGCTTCTCTCTTATTTTGGTGTGTTTAAAACGAGGAATAAAGCCTGTTATTTATAGCAAAATTTGCCAAGCTTTCAGCCAATCAAAATGCTTTGTTCTTTACAATTTGCATCGTCCAGAATTATTTTTTGTTTTGGTCTTATTGCAACTTTATTTCAGCCGCTCTTATTGCAATTTGCAAACATGTTGCCATTGAAACTTGTTATTTTCTTTCTTTGTATTAGTATTTTATTTTGGGACCACTGGTCCCACAAATTTCTCCCTTAATTTTGATTTTTCTTCTTCATTTCATTTCTTGATCTCAATCTCTAAAAATATTCAAACTTGAGGGGCTTTGTAAAAATATTTGCAGCTTGATCATTAGATTTCACATATTTGAGCTCGGCTTCCTTCTTGGCAATGCACTCTCTGATGAAGTGATATCTTGTATCTATATGCGTGCTTCGATCATGATACACCGGATTCTTCGCGAGTGCCTATGCGGATTTGTTGTCAATATAAATCTATGTAACTTAAATTTGTGATAAATTGAGCCCCTTCAACAATCTTCTCAGCCAAATAGCATGACATGTACAAGATGTTGCTGCTATATATTCAGCTTCACAAGTCGAGAGAGTAACAATGCATTATTTTTTTTGAACTCCAAGAAATAACAGAATCACCCAAGAAAAATACAAAATCAGTTGTGCTTTTTCTATCATCAATATCTCCCGCATAATCACTATCACAAAATCCCATAAGATTGAAATCACTTGAAGAAGAATAAAATAGCCCAAAGTCAATCGTACCTTTTAGGTAACGAAGAATTCTTCTAGTGACTTTCAAATGGGTAGAGGTAGGAGCTTCCATGAAGCGGCTTACTATTCCAACTGCAAAGAGTATATCTGGCCTGATACAAGTCAAGTACCTCAAACTTCCCACAAGACTTTTGAAAAATGTGGGATCCACATTTTCTCCTTCATCAAACTTGGACAATTTTGTCCCACTCTCCATCGGTGTGTTCACGGGGTAGCAATCGAGCATGTTGAAATCCTTCAAGATCTCCTTCGTATAGCTTTCTTGAGAGATGAAAATTTCATCCTCCATCTACTTCACTTCTAGGCCCAAGTAGTATAACATGACCTCTACGTCTGTCATCTCGAACTCACGGAACATATCTTTCTTAAAAGCTTCAAACAAAATTGGGTTATTACCCATGAAAATAAAATCATCAGCATAAAGACAAACAATCAAGATATCTCCATTAGTATGAACTTTAAGGTAAAAAGCATAATCATGGAGTCAACGAGTAAACCCATTGTATTGAAAATACTTGTCGATGCAACTATTCTATGCTCGTAGGGCTTGCTTCAATCCATATAAAGCTTTCTTCAATCTAACACTTTATCTTCATAATTTTTGACCACGAGGCCCAATGGTTGGTCAACATAGACTTCTTTTTCAAGATAGCCATTCAAGAAGGCTGACTTGACGTCTAGTTGATGGATTTTCTACTTCATTTGCGCTACCAAAGAGATCAGCAAATGAATTGTCTCCATGCGGGCAACATATGCATAGACTTCTTCATAGTCAATGTCTTGCCTTTGCTTGTAGCCTTTAGCCACAAGTCGTGCCTTGTATCTCTCCACATCTCCATCATCATTCTTCTTTGTCTTGTATACCCATTTTACTCCAATTGCGCGATGACCCTTGGGAAAAGTTGTGAACTCCCAAGTGTTGTTCTTCTCTATTGACTCGATCTCCTCCTCCATGGCTTGTCTCCACCTTTTGTCTGTAACAGCTTCATCAAAGTTCATTGGTTAACTATCAGCAAAGAGACAATATAAAAAATCAAAATTAGTAACTTCTTTCGTGCCATCATAGAGCTCTTGAATTCTCTTTGTCCTTTGCAGTTGCTCATTTGAATTTTGTTGAGAAGAAGGAGATGTAACATTGGTTGGAGAAAGAGGTGGAATTGTATCATGCACAAGTTCCACGGTATCTGGTTCTTCTTCATCGCCAAAGTATGGAAGAAAATCATATGAAGTTTCTTCCTGAGCTTCCTAATTCCATGCCAATTCTTCATCAAATTCAACATCACGACTCACCACCATCTTGCCGCTACTTGGGTTGTATAGCTTGTAGCCTTTTGAACTCGTATCATAGCTAACAAACACATGCTTGACACTTCGATCGTCAAGATTTGCTCTCCCTTGATGTGGCACATGAGCATAGGCTATGCTCCTAAAGATTCTCAAGTGCTTGACACTTGGCTTTCTTCCACTCCATGCTTCTTGAGGGGTATGATGTCTAACATTCCTTGTTGGAGACCTGTTGTTCAAATAAACTGTACAAGATACAGCTTCTGCCCAAAATTTCTTGGGCATACTTTTAGCTTTTAACATACATCTAGCCACATTAAGAATCGTTCGATTCTTTCTCTCTGCAACTCCATTTTGTTGGGGTGAATAAGGTACTGTTAGAGGACGATGAATTTCATGAGACTGACAGAAGTCATTAAATTCTTTTGAAGTGAATTCGCCTCCTCTATCGGACTTTAAAGATTTTATTTCATAGCCACTTTCTTTCTTCACAAGTACTTTAAAAAATTTTAAAAGCAGTAAAAGCTTCAGATTTTTGGTTCAAGAAATAAACCCAAGTCTTTCTACTAAAGTCATACATGAAAAGTAGAAAGTATTTACTTTTATCAGAGAAAGGTGGATTGATTGGTCCACACACATCAGTGTGAACAAGCTGAAGCGGTTTAGTTGATCTTGACATGGCCTCCTTTGAAAAACTCCTCCTTGCATATTTTACAAGAAGACAAGTTTCGCACATTTGATTGGAATGGTTGATTGATGGTATCCCATGCACTGTATTCTTTTCTCCCATTAATTTGAGTGCTTCAAAATTCAAGTGCCCAAATCGCATGTACCAACACCATGATTCATCTTGCATATTAGCCTTCAAACACTTTGCATCAATTGTTTTAAGATTCAGAGAAAATAATCTATTCTTTGTCATATGCACTTTAGCAATTAGAATTCTACCTGAATCTCTAAGCCAAAGATGCATATTTTTTATGTGGATGTCATAATCCTTTTTAAGAAGTTGGCCCAAACTCAAAATATTACTTTTTAATTTTGGTACATAATAAACATCTTGAATTAGCTTGCGACTACCATCTTTACAAGAGATCAGAATCGTTTATCCTTCGATTTGAATCTCTGAGGTATCTCCAAATGACACATTACCTCTCACCGTTTTATTGATCTCCACAAACTTCTCTTTGCATCCACATATGTGATTGCTTGCTCCATTGTCCAAATACCACGAGCTACAATCATCCATGTCTTCTTCCTTGAGTGCCAACAACAACGTTGACTCATCTTCTTCTTTCTTGTCGTTAACAAGGTTAGCTTTTTATTCGACATTGCTACGACATTCCCAAGAGTAATGTCCAAATTTATGATAATTATAACACTCAATTTTTGATTTGTCATACCGTTGTCCATTATTTTCTTGGTAGTAGCCACGTCTGCTTCCTCCTCTTTGTCCATGGCCACGACCTCTGAATGTTTGGTGGATTTTAACTTCATTGTTGAAGTTGTTACCATTACTTCTTCATCTTCCATGATAGCTCTTTTCACCTCCATAATCCTTGAAGAATGCCTGAGTTTAAGAAGTTGCTCCAATGACACTTCTTGTCTCTTTTCGATCTTTTCTTCGTGGGCCTGTAAAGAGCCCTCCAATTGCTCTACCATCATAGAGTCTAAATCTTTAGACTCCTTAATAGCACACACCACAAAATCAAATTTAGGTGTTAAAGTACGAAGGATCTTTTCTACAACACGGATATCTTCTATGTCCTCCCTGTATCTTCTTAGTTGATTTACAACAACCTTCACTTTTGAACAATAATCCGAAATGCATTTGAATTCTTTCATTTTTAAAACTTCAAAATCAGCCCTTGGAGTTTGAAGTTTTAACTTCCTCACCTTGTCAACTTCTTGAAGAGAATTTTGTAAAATCCCCCAAGCTTCCTTTGAGGTGGTAGCATCTGCCACCTTTTTAAACATGGCATCATCCAAACATTGGTGGATGATCGTGAGGGTTTGTTGACCCTTCTTCCTCGTCTTTGCCAAGACCTCTTTTTTATTTTGGGGCAGAGCTTCCTCATTATCGGGTTTTGCATACCCTCTGTCTACGATTTTTCATACATCCTGAGAGCCAAGAATGGCTTTCATACGTAGACACTATTTCTCATAATTATCTTTTATGAGACGGGGGTACTGAAAAGATAGCGGACCATTATTCGCCATGGCTCTGATATCACGTTATTGGGAAAAATAATAATCCCGTCCAGAAATAATATCCACAGAAAATAATAATAACACAAGAGAGTAACAACGACACCAATTCTTTTAACGAGGTAAATACAATACCCGAGCAGAGCAATATTACCACTATAATATTACAACTTAGTAGTATCAAGAGACTACTACAATTCTGAAAGAAATAATACTCTTTATTAAAAACACATCACTACAATATTACTCACACTCACTATTTATCTCATAGACTGCAATATGTGGATTACTCTCTCTAACTTCTATTACTTCTTTCTTATTTTGGTGTGTTTAAAATGAGGAATGAAGCCTGTTATTTATAGCAAAATTTGTCAAGCTTTCAACCAATAAAAATGCTTTGTTCTTTGCAATTTGCATCGTCCAGAATTATTTCTGTTTTGGTCTTGTTGCAACTTGCAACTTTATTTTAGCCGCCCTTATCGCAAACAAGTTGCCATTGCAACTTGTTATTTTCTTTCTTTGAATTAATATTTTATTTTGGGGCTGGTCCCTCAAAAATAACTTTTAAAGAGACATGCATGCTATCAAGTAAGTGTAGTGAAACTCAAAGTATCATATATATAAGCTAATATGACAATCTCACAGCTCATAAGTCAAAACTGGTATTGTTCTCAATTCTTATAACTTCTTAGCTCAAAATGGGCTATCTTACTCTTTTATGATTAAGGGAGGCATCTGCTAAGTTTTGTTTTCCTACCCTAATCAGTTAAGGCAGCTAGCTTTAACTGCTATCCACTATACTTTGAGGTAACATAATATGTAACAACAACACCGTTCGACCTCCAGTAAACTCAATCGTCAACTATTTTTGGATAGCCTTGTCAGAGATGATAGTCACACGCAAATCGCTTGACCAGAATTCTTGTTTGAGAGTTAATATTTGAGTTTTCTTGGGGTGTAAAATTCTATTTCCTTAGTTCTTCTTTTGGTTTGTTCTGATTTGCAATCACTTGATAGACGTATTAAATTTCTAATACTATAAAATTTCGTAGAGGTATTTCTGTTTCTATGAGCTTTTCTCCTTTATGTGCTCGAGTATTAATCAATATTCCTTGATATCAGAAGATGAGTTTGATTTTGAAGACGCAGCATGAGATCATTTTTTTTTACTTATTTATACAACTAAGGGCGTATAATTAAACTAAGAAATTATACTATTTCAATGAGCTGATCTTTCAATTGTTCTACAATTTGATCATTTTATATTTGAATAATGTTATGCCAAAAAGATATCCAAAGTTATATACTTCGTAATATGATCTTCTCTTATCAGCTTTTAGTATGTGAAATAGAAGCTGAGTAGAGAATCTTAGCATATATGTCCAATTATCTTTGCAGCTTTGCTAAATTATTAAGTTGACAATCTCAGGTCAGCCTTTATCTTTGTGTTCTTATCGATATTCTTTTTAATTGCAGATTGTGAGATTTATTTCTGTGCTACTGAAAGTTGGCTGTGAAGTTGCCGAGAAAGAGTTGATCAGATCTGGTCAAAACATATTTTAGATAATTTCTACCACGTGATTAGTGTTTGACAAAGTAAGTATTACTTCAGCTAATTTTTACCCTTCCACATATGACACCTACATGTGAAATTTGTGTTTAAGTTAAGAGAATTCCTGCTATTTTGGATGGTCATTTAGAAGGTGGGGGTCACAATTCACATGTGTGGACTTGTACAGAACTGAGTTGAAGTTGGTCATGTCTGAAAATTATCTATATTTATCAGGTGGAAGAAGAAAAAAGATTTTACTAGGAGGAAGAAGTTAAGTTCCGTAGCATGACTAAGCTGTCATCTACTGGTATTATCAAGATTTTCCTATTTTTGGCAAGACATCGATTCAATCTTTCAAGGATTAGGTTAGTTCGTGTTTCTTCTTTTTGTCAGTCCAAATAAACTTACTCCCTCTATACCACAAATATGTCATACTACTATAATCAAACACTCCTTAAAGTTGTTATGTCTCTTACCATTCATAGGTTACAACAAAGCCATCAGAAGTTATAATGCATGGACTCGCTACATACGGATTCCAGAATAGCAAAATAAGTGATGTGAAAAGAAGTAACAAGCAGTGAATTAACTAAGCAATAAATTATGAGAATTCTGTCATGTAATGGTAATTTCAAATCACAGAGGAGCTGAAAATCTGTCACCTGGTACCAAAGGAGACTGATTTCCACTTCTCTAATCAGTATATGTATTACATTCCAAAAGGTTCAGTTGAAACTTTACTTGTTCTATTAAGCACACTAGCACAGTATGCTATGTGCTTCTATATTTTTGCACTGCCTTTCTGGATTTTTGCATTTTTCAACTGTATTTCTACACAATATTCGGCATAGCTGCTCCATTTCTGTATTCAAATGTTATTATTTTTTACTTTCTATAGCATATCCACTAAGTGATATTCAGTAATATTTCTTTTTAACGGTCTGAACTTCAAAATCGTCAAAGTTTCAAGAAACAGCAGATGATGCATTTAAGATTGTGTTTGGAAACGAGCAACCTGGTCCGGTTAGATGCTATGGTAGATCGGTGACGATAAGATCTCTGAAAAAAGATGAGGAAATCAGCAAGCTTCAACAAAAGCATGCTAATGAAATAACTTCTTTGAAGGAAGAAATGAAGGAAATAATGAGAGAAGAAATGCGATATTTTTTTGTTCAAATGGTACAAAATAACCCTGGACTAAATATTCATGATATACAAGGGTGTGCCGGATCTAATCTTCCTTCACCCGTTGATGCAAGTAGTGTACGAGGAATGAGTGGCCAAAATCTATCACATTCTTCTGGCTCAACTCATGCTCCGAGTCTTGAAAAGATATTTATATTTCACACTCTAAACTTATAAGACCATGTTTTTCTAAACTATTTGCTTTTGATGATTCCATTACATAATAACAGGAGTTATGAATGAATGGAAGGAAAATATATTTCACGAATATAATTGGTATAATATGCCCTTACACAAAGTACTAAACCTTTTGAAGGGAATTAGAATATTCTTTGACCTCTTTCAAGTGTAGGATACGTTGAAATCCTTGTCTTTTCCAAATCTCACTATTATTATGCATGTGCTCATATCGAAATCGAGGCAAAGCATTCTGTGATTTTGGGATGTAAGCAAGTTATTAATTCACAACTTTGCTTCTCCTTAGCTTGCACCTCTTTTTTTGTGTTTGACTTAGTTATGTTTTAGTAGTGAAATAAACCTCATTAGTTATTAGTAAGACATGTTGCTATAACCAATGCATACTATATATAGGTTTTTTTTTCTAATTTTTAATTTCATTTTGAATGTGCAGGAAAATGCGAGTGATGCAATTAAAAATGTGGCCACAAATCAATTTGACCTATTGACGTGAATGATGCATACTTTTTGAACAATTGTGACGTTTATTGTTATTGATATTGTGGCCCCTACTGCCGGTCGGCAAGCGGACGACGGATGCATGCGTCGTTTCTAGCCCGGATTCTGACTTAGAGGCGTTGGCTAATGGGTACTGACTTGGTCCGGGATGCTTTGGATAAGGTTAAGATGATTCAGGAACGGCTTCGCATAGTGCACTCTAGACAGAAGAGTTATGCCAATAGGAAGGTCTGTGATGTTGCTTACATGGTTGGGGAGAAGGTACTGCTCAAGGATTCCCAAAGTTCAAAATTTAATTTGGCCTAGATAATTTTTATTGACCTAAATAATGTTCAAAATTTAATTTTCAATTTATTATTATTTGATGAAATACATTCGGTTTTGTAAAGTTCATTGCTTGTGAACTTCTTGAAATAGTAGTGCTTTATTAGTATGGGTATAGTACTACGCAAATTATATTTTTTTTGTTGAAGTTTATTTCAAGTATATACATTTGAATTATTTTTATTATGTTATTATTTAATTTGATGCTTGCGATCATAAAGTATATGCTTGAAATAAATATGAATACAGAGTTTAATGTACGCAAATATAGTTTCTTAACCACACAATTGTGGCTAAATAAATATTTTAAAAATTATTTCATAGCGTAGACAAAATTGCCACGCTTAGAAAATGTGGCCATAGGGACTAGTAATTTGGTGCTATGTGATGACGTCCAAATTCACTACTAAAAAGTAAATAGATACGGTCGCATGCAATATAATTTACCCAACTATGAGTCGGGTCGAATCCCACTGAGAACAATATATAGGCGATTAGGAATGTAAGAGAATTATCACTTGTTATGCAATGCCAAACACTTAAAATTTAGTTATGGAATTATTATAACTAAATGCGAAAATGTAAACTAACTTAGAAAGCAAGTAAAATGATCAATGGCTACAAGCATGGATGCATAAGGATTTACACTCAAGTAACGATCCAATGTATTTCACGATTTTACAAATATGAGCGAGTTTATGTTAATTATCCTCGGGTAATAATTCTATATTAGCTTCTTTCGAAGACTTCCTAATTGAATTATCCCTAAAATAATTAAGAGATTAAGCACACCCAAATATGACTACAAGTAGTTCAATCCTATCCCTAGGTAGAATCTACAAAGTGAGGATTAAAGCCTCAAGTTCTTGTTAATTAATCTTTCCCAACCCCAAATTATCTTTTCCAAAATTAATTCGAAATTAATGGGCGAGTCCTAGGGTTAGCTAATCCCTTTGGAAACACTAAAGAACAAGAATAATTAAAGAAACAATAACTCACTTCATAATAAATAAAAATCGTTCAATACATAAGCATAACAAGGTATTTAATCCACACTTTAAATATGAATATTCCCATAAATAAGATTCAAGTGTTGGAAAAAATACTACACACTTAAATATTCAATACAAAGCAAGAAAATGAAGAAATGAGCATAAATGAGTAAGAAATTCTCAACCAAAAGTTTCAAATCTTCAAGCCCCAAGTGTGTGTGCAAGAACCCTAGCTCCAAACCTTGTCTTCTCTAGTCTAGGAACTGAAAAATAAGCCAAAGATTTTTTACAAATGAGCTAGGTCGTGCATTAAATGGTTTGGGGCCAAAATCATGAAATTTCAGAACTGCCCAGATTTGTGAATCGCGATCGCAAAAAGAGGTTTGCGATTGCGAAGAGTAGTTCTGTAAAGTATTGCGATCGGAGGCTACATCACGCGTTTGCGTAGAGCATTTCAGAGCAATTGACCATCTTCTTCATCGCGTTCGCAGAACTAGCCCAGCGTTCGCGATGTATTGTTTCCTCCAGCATCGCGTTCGCGATTATACCTTCGCGTTCGCGATTATACCTCGTGTTCGCGAAGGTTGCCTTCCTCCTTCTTCGCGTTAGCATACAGAATTTCGCGTTCGCGAAGGTTTGTTATCCTGATGCTCCGCGTTCGCGAAGGATAATTCACTAGGTAGTATTTTATTTGCATTTTAGCTTCTTTTTTACTTGTTTTCGCATGATTTGTTCACCATCACTCCTAAATTACTTGATACCTGAAATATGCCAATAAGCCTCAATAAATGCCTTAATTTCTCAACAAAATTATACAAAAGCCTAAGTATCAAGAGGAGATAAGTTGGTAAAATACCAACTTATCACTATGCTTGATAATTGTTGCTTTAGAAGCCACACTCTAAAAGCGTGGTCTATAACGCAACAAAGACCACGCTTCAAAATTGTAGCTTTACGTCATACAAGTGTGGCTATAGAGGAAATATAAAGTGTAACTTTTTTAGTGCATTGGCCACACTTTTGAAGCGTGGCTCCTACGACAACATGTAAAAAGCGTGGCCATAAGTCAAAGGTTACGGTACTATAGGCCACTCCCTAAAAGCGTAGCCTAAAGTCGTAAAGTGTTGTCTTTGATCTAATGCTACACTTCTTGGCATCTTAGGCCACACTTTTCAGGGATGGCTGGAGGCCTTAAATGTTGTAGTGGCATATTAGAAAATTACGGTCAAAGAACAGCTCGTTTAACTCTCGAAAATCAAATATCATCACATAAATTGAGACGGTGGGAGTAATATGATTAGATTAATATAAGTTTGAGTTTATGATAGAGTTGAGTCTCGATGAACTTTTTCGGAGCTTCACATGCTTTCGCATATGCATTCTTTGACCACTAATATGAAGGTTGTATAAAAAGGGCAGCCCAGTGTATTAAACTCCTGTATGTGCGGGGTCCGAGGAAGGGCCGGATTACAAGTGTCTATTGTACGCAGTCTTAGCCTTCATTTCTACAAGAGGTAATATGAAGGTTGTATATGTCTTTAATTTCTTTCTTGCATATGACAACATCAAAATTTATTGCACTAGAGTGGAAAAATGCGCCTCATCTATACATTTTTAACAAGATGATGTATTTATTTATTTATTTATTACTGACATACTTATCTATTTATTAAATAAGACTGCATATTAATTTCTGAGGAAAACCTCTTTTATAATCGTTTCATTAATACAGTACGTGTTTTCTGGCACTGCAGTCGGATAAGGTGAACACTAGAGCGAAACATAAACTTCACTAGATACAATAACGTTCTGGAAAAAAAAAATGCAACATAAACTATATAGAACTAATAGATCATTCGATAAAAAAATAATCAAGAGGCAATATCAAATAAAAATAGAAGTATTGCTTCACATATATAATCCGAAAATAGTTCAAATTTGTCCTTGTAGAAACTGAAATTATTCTATTTTGCCCTTTTGTTTAGGTCAAGTAATTTTCTTACTACTAACATCTTGTTTTGTATTTGTACTTATTGTTAATATGGCTTCTATGCATATGAGTCAGACTCCACGTATTCAAATTCTTGGAGAGAAAAGATCCAAATTTTATCATCAACAATTGAATATGGTTTTGAATTACTCTTAGATTGAAGTTCCGTTAGAGATCAAGGAAAGTTCTGCATTGAAATATTTGCATTTAAAAGGTCCGCACTGAAATTCTTGCCAAAGTTTACTACAGTATTTGTTTACTCGTAAAACAATACAGTTGAATTTGTAACATGATTTATAGATACATGAATTAATTTGATCCAAGAATATAAAATGACTAATAACATATATAAATTGATTAAAATAACTTGAAGAAAAATACAAACCTGATTAAGGGATCAGTTTCTCCGGTAGCAATAATAAGAGAAATATGAAGAAAACAAAAGAGAAAGTTGTTTAATAAGAACAGATTTTGGCTTTTGTGTAGAGATAATTTTTCATGTCCTATGATAAATACAAATTCTCATATTTATAACTTAATCCAGGGAGACAAGATCCCCAAGCTCTTCATTAAAATGAGTAAAACCCCTCTTGATATTTGCATAATAGTTGAACATTAATACAAAGATTCTTTGTAACGGTTACTCATTAAATGTTGTCTTTTTCCAATCGATGTCTTCCTTTCAAATCTTTATTCCCGGTTCCAATCCCTTCGTTTATTCAGCACCAGTTACATATTTTGTAACCAGTGACAGCTATTTGCTAATTCATATCTTACGTATATTTACTTCCACGTGTAAACTCGTCGAATATCCATCTGTCACTTATCAATTTTACCTCATACAATAATTTGTATAATTAGCAAATATAATAGTAAAGACAGATGCCACATTTTCCATGTCCTTGATTGGAGCATAATTTAAGCTGGATTTCATATCTGCCACCACAAAAAATATTTGAACTTTTGATTTTTCCCTCTCTATTTCATAGTTGTGAAAATAAACTCTATGATTGTTTACCCTCAAAATCGAATAACAATTGAATTTGTAAGTGGTCTTAAAGATACATAGACTAACTTCACACGAAATAATAAATTAGATTGTAATTGAAATAAGTAATGACGAAGTAAATGCAAACCACACGAATTAAACAGTCTTAACCTTGGAAGGTTAATCACCCTCGAGCCTGGTACGCTTCGATCGGCATTAGGACACATAAGAATAAGAGCTTCAAGAAAAATAATAATGATATATCGCTTTGGAATACTTGTTACAATGTATTTAATGAATTATGAGACCCCCCTTTATATAGTAGAGAAGTCTTACTTTAGGTATAATTCTATAAAAGGTAAAAATCCCTTGATTTGATGATTGTCGATTCCCTACTGATAGGCATTGAGATTCCCGCCGCAACATCTTCTCGGTTACGGATATTTGTGTAACGACCCGGCCGGTCGTTTTGAGCTTTTACACTTCGCTCGGTTGTTTGAGGGCATGAGTAGTTTCGTATGATGTATTATGACTTATGTGAATCGTCGGTTTTGGTTTTCAGGTTGTCTCAATTACCTCTTGAAGGTTACACTTCGCTCGGTTGTTTGAGGGCATGAGTAGTTTCGTATGATGTATTATGACTTATGTGAATCGTCGGTTTTGGTTTTCAGGTTATTCGGAATTGATTTGAAAGGATGATTTCTCAACTAGAAGCTTTAAATTTGAAAGAGTTGACCAAATTTGACTTTTTAGTATTTGACATCGGATTGGAATTTTGATGGTTCTGTTAGCTCCGTTGGGTGATTTTGGACTTAGGAGCGCGTCCGGATTGTGATTTGGAGGTCCGTGGTTGAATTTGGCTAGGAATGGCGAAAGTTAAAATTTTGGAAAAGTTTGACCGGGAGTGGACTTTTTGATATCGGGATCGGATTCCGATTTTGAAAGTTGGACCAGGTCCGTAATGTCGAATGTGACTTGTGTGCAAAATTTGAGGTCAATCGGACATAATTTGATAGGTTTCGGCATCGATTGTGGAAGTTTAAAGTTTCAAGGTTCATTAATTTCGAGTTGAGGTGTGATTCATCGTATTGATATTGTTACGCGTGATTTGAGGCCTCGAGTAGGTCCACATTATGTTATTGGACTTGTTGGTATATTCGGACGGGGTCCCGAGTAGT